TTAATTCCTATGTATTTGCATATCTAACACCTAAACTTTAACGTTTAGGTACACTCCACCTAATCTATATATGAAAATGTGTATTTCACATTTTAAAAGTTGAAGTGCTATTTTTGATGAAATATGAAAATTTTTGGTAGAATAAATCTAAAAAGTAGAGTATAGGTGTTAGATATGTAAATGAATAAGAATAGGGTGGTAAGTATTTAAATGCCCCTAAAATTTAAGGAAAAAAAAAGAGGGAAAGCTCGTTTTATTTATCGTTAATTTAAGAAGTACAAATTAATTTATAACTAGAAAAATGCCCTTTTAGATGAAACAGTTAAAAAAACACAGAATTTTCTTTTTAAATCCCTCAAATTAAAAATGGAACAAAGCTAGCAAGACCAAGGAGAGACTTCTCTATTATGAGTCCTAAATTGTGATTACAACAACAACCAGCCTTTATCCCACTAAGTGGGGTCGGCTACATAAATCATTTTTTCTCCATTGTGTCCTATTGGATGCAACATTTTCATTTAGTAATAATAAATCAAGATCATTTTTTATACAACATGTCCAAGTTTTTTTAGATATACCTCCACTTTTTTTAACATAAGTTAAATCTAAAAAATCCACTCTCCTAACTAGGTCATCAATTGGTCGACATTTAATGTGATCAAACCATCTAAGGTGATTCTCTCTAATCTTCTCTGCCACAGGAGCAACTCCAACCTTTTCACGGATATATTCGTTTTACATTTTGTCTAAGTGTGAAGCCACTCATCCACTAGAGCATTCTCACCTCAACAACACTTAACTTAATTTTATGATTTTCTATTACAAGTCAGTATCCTGTGAAATTTTCCTTTTAAGTCTAAGCGAGACTTTTCTATCACGCAATAGGTTGGATGCATTCCTCCGCTTCAACTATCCAACTTCAATTCTACTAATAATTTTCTCATCTATATCACCCACACTTGGAATAATTGACCTGAAATATCTAAACTATTCACTCATTTTAAGGACTTGATTATCCATAGTTACAACCCCACCACTAGATCTACTACCACTTAAATTACTTTCAATGTATTCTGTTCTAGATCTACTCAAACGAAAGCCTTTTTTAGACTCTAGAGTTGGCCTCCATAATTTAAATTTTTCTTAAGCTCTCTCTCTCTCTCTCTAATCTGGTCCAAAAGAAATATATCATCAACGCAACACATACATTAAGGTACATCCTTCTCTAAATGTCCAGTAAGAACATCTATAATTAAAGCAAAAAGATATGGGCTTAAAGTCGATCCGTGATGTAATCCAACTGAAGCAGGAAAACATTTGGTCAATACCTCTTGTGTTCGAGCATAAGCAAAAGTTCTAGTATGCATATCTTTAATAACACGAATATAAGCAATATCAATAATTTATTTTCTAAAACTCTCTAAAGTACTTATCTTGGAATATTATCATAAGGGTTTTCTATATCAACAAAAATCATATGTTTATCCTCCTTATTATCCCTGTAATTCTCCATCAAACCTCCCAATAAATGTATAGCATCCATAATAAACTTGTCTAATATGAATCCAAACTGATTTTGAGAAATTTTTGCACCATGTCATAACCGATGTTCAATTACTCTCTCATCACTTTAATGTATGACATATTAATTTAATGAGTCTATAATTCATACTCTTGTGCATCCCATTTAATCTTAAAAAAATGAACTAACATACTCTTTCTCCACATATTAGGCATTTTTAAATTTTTAAAATAATATTAAAAAAATAAGAAAAAAAAATACTAGATCTCCTAAACATTTCCACACTTCTACTAGCATACTATCATATACTACTACTTTTACACACTCTTTTTCTTTAAAACCCCCTCAACTTTCGATTTACTATCGTGAAGGCAGAAATAAAAAAAAAAAATTGTTATGATTTATGATATGAAGATAACTAAATTCTATTATAATTTTACAAATTTCATTAAAAAAATTATCAAAATATCTCACCTAGCTATCTTGAATATTCTCATTTAAGAAAATAATTTTTTTATTTTTATCCTTAATATATTTTACTTGAACTAAATTTTTATATTTTTTCTCTATTTACTTATTACTTTATATATATTTATATATCTTTCATCATAGCTTAAAGTCGATCCGTGATGTAATCCAACTGAAGCAGGAAAACATTTGGTCAATACCTCTTGTGTTCGAGCATAAGCAAAAGTTCTAGTATGCATATCTTTAATAACACGAATATAAGCAATATCAATAATTTATTTTCTAAAACTCTCTAAAGTACTTATCTTGGAATATTATCATAAGGGTTTTCTATATCAACAAAAATCATATGTTTATCCTCCTTATCATCGCTGTAATTCTCCATCAAACCTCCCAATAAATGTATAACATCCATAATAAACTTGTCTAATATGAATCCAAACTGATTTTGAGAAATTTTTGCACCATGTCATAACCGATGTTCAATTACTCTCTCATCACTTTAATGTATGACATATTAATTTAATGAGTCTATAATTCATACTCTTGTGCATCCCATTTAATCTTAAAAAAATGAACTAACATACTCTTTCTCCACATATTAGGCATTTTTAAATTTTTAAAATAATATTAAAAAAATAAGAAAAAAAAATACTAGATCTCCTAAACATTTCCACACTTCTATTAGCATACTATCATATACTACTACTTTTACACACTCTTTTTCTTTAAAACCCCCTCAACTTTCGATTTACTATCGTGAAGGCAGAAATAAAAAAAAAAATTTGTTATGATTTATGATATGAAGATAACTAAAGTCTATTATAATTTTACAAATTTCATTAAAAAAATTATCAAAATATCTCACCTAACTATCTTGAATATTCTCATGTAAGAAAATAATTTTTTTATTTTTATCCTTAGTATATTTTACTTGAACTAAATTTTTACATTTTTTCTCTATTTACTTATTACTTTATATAAATTTATATATCTTTCACCATATTTAGTATCTAATATATTATAAAGACCACTACAAGCAGAATTTTTATCATCACAAATTATTCTCTTGAAACTCCATACAAGCCACCTTATATTTTTTACAATTCTCCAAATTTTACATCTAAACCAATATTTATGACAAAATTTTTTACTTTTTATTGTTTCTTGCAAGTTATTATTTCACAAACTATTTTTATTCATAAAAATTTTAACTTTTGATTTCCCAACCAACTTCTTTGTAATTTGATTAATAGTACTCATTACGTTATCATGAAAATAATATTAACTACTTTATGAACATCCCAAATTTTAAAATCTTATAGTTTGCTCATGAAAATAATTTTATTTATGTCTTTTAAATGTCATCATCAAATTCTATGACAATATTTTATAATATTTTTCATCTTTCATTCTTTCATCTTAAAAACCAAAATTAATCAACAGCGCTGAATAGTTAAATTCTTATAAGTAATAATATGTTAATTTTTTTTTAAATAAAGAACTAACAATAGCAAAATCAAATGTCATAAATTCTTCATTAGCCACTCTAAATCACAACCAATATGAATGTTTTTAAAATCTTCTACCACTCTACCGAAATGTCCTTTTAAATCTTCTCCAATAAAATTTTTTCTTCAAGAAATATCATATATATTAATTCTTTCAAGTCATTTGAATCCAAAATTGCGAATAAAGGTGAGAAAAGCAAAACATTCAGTGAAACATGGCGGCAAATACCCTAATTTCATTCCTTCTCTAGTTTGCACCTTTATAATTGCTAAAGGATAGAAAGAATTCAACTATAAAATTTCATGGAAAATCTCCTCATTTAAAATGCAATAATAGAGTCCCAAAAAGAGATGTTATACATTTCGTATACTACATGTTGCATAAAGTAGTCTCAGTGTGAAATTTCTTTATATGTTTATATAGAAGCATTTCTGTGCCCACTTACTACATAAGCAGATATTAATTTTACAAAGGAAGATTTACATACATACCAATAAATTCCTATTTATTTACATATCTAACATAAAATTTCAATTTTTACATATATGTCATCTTACTTATGCAAGAAAAGGTGTATTTCACTTCTTAAAAGTAAAAATTGTGATATTTTTATGTTGATGCCGATGTTAACCCAAATGATAACAAAAATGTAATTTTTATTTCAAAATGCCATTTTTATTACTTAAATCAAATAGGGATTACAACCAAAGACACTTGAAACTAGAAAATAGCAGAAGAAGACGTTACACAAACTCAAATAGGCATAGGTCGAGGGTGGTGGTACTGCGCTTCAAGGAGGAAAGCACACATGGACGTAGGAGAATGGTCGGAAGGCAACAAGGGACAACTCCAATTGACTGTCGATGGCAGGAAGGTTGTCGACAGCCGAGCATGGTGAGATGGCTGTAACAGGAGGGAGGTGGCAGGGTATTGGAAGGGTAGGGTAGGCTCACAACAGCAAGTAGAGAAGATTTGGGGATGCAACAACATCGCCAGATAGTTGGAGAGCAATAGGAACACGAGGAAAAGGCTTGCGGAGTTACGATGGTGAAGTTAGATGATAAGACAAGGGTAGAACAACAAAGAGGAGTGGCAGGGTAGAGGCAACGTAGGTGGGGCGCTCGGACAACGAAAGTAACGAAGCAGGTGGCTGGGAGCAACGACAGTAGCAAGGAGTAGAGAAGGATGGAGTTGGCAGTTGAATGTGAGAAACGGGATAAATATCCCCGCAGAAGCGAGCTACAACCGGAGCACACTACTCATCTCTTGGGAGACAGTTACCGTCTCAAACGAGTTACAATCTCAACACTTTCTCGCCTTTGGATACATCACCGGAACGAGAAAATTTGGCTGTCGACGGCTGTCTTGACAGAAAATAATTCAAAAACTGACTTCCAAACCCTAATACATCACACATATAAGAAAGTATACACAAGGAATGAAAGATATAGGAAAGAAAGCATAAGAGAGGACAGTGGGACTGTTTCGACGACCCAACGATATATTTTCCTGCAGTACTGTAGTAGATACTACGAGATAAATGTGTGGGAAAGGTTTCACATCAGACGTGACATGAAAAATTTCGGTAGCACAGTAACAAATAAAGTTTTGGTGTTAGATATGTAAATACATAAGGTGGTTAGAAAATGTATATGGCTAAAAACAGTGACAAAGCCTTTGAAACTTTGATACTTTTTCATAGTTAGATTAAATAAATGTCACCCTTTACACAATATCGCAAAAGGCGTAGCCACGTAAAATCATTAGAGAAACTCAAATACATAAAATTTAAAGCTTACCCCCAAGCAAGAAGCAGTATTTTCTCAAAGAAAACAGTTGATAGCTCTGAGTGTGCCAAGCTGCAAAAAACAAAATGCTAAGCATGACAGAAAAAAAAAAAGTATTGGAAAAAAAACAAAAAAAAATGTAGGAGAAATACCTTAGAGCCCAAAGCCTAAGATAAGATGCCGTATTTGAGACCGCTCCCAGAACAAATTCAATTGAATGAATCATCTGATGCACAAATATTTCGCTGAAATTGAAATCATTGTGATGGTTTTGTGCGGACTCAAGTTCAACATCGAGATCGGCATCCGAGGTTCGAAGGATGCCATAAGTGCGACCTTGGAATCTCTATGTGAGCATGTGATAAGGAAATGTGAGGATTTGCATGGTTAACCAATGTAAAAAAATAATTTGTAAAGTTAGTTTAGTTCAACTGAGTTTAAAGAGAGTTATAAAATAATCAAAACAGAGAAAAGTGTTAAAAAGGTCTGCTAACTTTTTGCAATAGGTTATTTTAGTCCTAGAGTCTATACAAATATCAATTTAGTCCCGAGACTCTTTTAATGGGGGCTAAATAGTTTCCCAATGATACTATTTCAGCCCATATGAAAAGAGCGTGGGGAATAATTTGACACTTCTATAGACTCGAGGACTAAGATGCCCCATGTAAATAGTCAAAGGACTATAATGACACTTTACTCCATCAAAATATATATAAAAGAAGCTGGAAAACAAGAAAGCCAACAATGTTACAATTCAACTGATGGTTGCAAAAACAATTGAGGTAAGATAATCTATGAAGAAAAAAAAATGCCATCATCTTTTGGGGCTCGTTCTACACCATTGATTTTTAATAAGCGCATCTGTAGCATTGTCAAATCAAATTTTTTGCCCTTCCAAGCATATTTACCTTTAGTCCAACATTTTCTTCCACCTAAATCAGACGGGAAGAAACAGAAGAAGGGTAGCTCCTCCAACACTGTGTCATCCAGGAAGTGTTACAGATGTCACGATTACGGTCACCTAATCGCCAGCTGTCCGACGAGCAGAGAAGTCATTTACCGAACCTCCAAACCTCTACCCAAATCACTTAAAAGTCATGTTGCACTCATTTCCAAACAAAGCTGCTCCTACAATTTATTTAACATTAACATCTTTCACTTGTGAATATAAGGTCACCAACATGACAGCATGGAAGGGGCAGAAACATAAAGGATACGACATAATTATAAAAGTTAGGACGCAACACTCCATATAAATGATGTTTTCGTTTATAATAATTTATATAAAAGGCGCAATTAAAACACGTATCACCCAATAAAGTATATTATTAAATGTATCAACTAACAAGCTAGAGAACAATAAAATAAAAATTACCATTAATTTAATTACAATTATATTTCAACATTTCATCAAGTGAAATAAATTATCAACACAACAATCTTAGCATTAGTCATTAAGCATGATTTTTTTTAATATCAACACTATATTTTCCATAGACACATAATAAGTAGGTGGGACATCCAAGGTGGTGAGCGACTTCATGCGATCTGGGTTGGCCTTTCCTTTTGCATCTCCCACCTGGATCGAGCGAAATTTACGGAGAGGCGGCATTTCCACTTGTCCATTCTCCTCCTTCCTTTCTCATCCTTTTTCCTTTCTTGTTGCCCCCTAGCTAGGTCAATTTATATGCTTTTTTTCTGAGTTTAGAGCAATTCTTACTGTGTTTACATTCAGATTTCCTATGTGGATTCCTCTTCCCTTTCGTAGGGTTGTATCTGAGGAGGTGGTGGCGCTCCGACTGTATCGTACTCCGAGGTGGTGATTGTATCTTCCCCTTTATCTTCCCCAAATCTTCCCTTTCGCCCCCCTTAGCCGTCGGCCACTCCTGATCCACACCCGCCTCCAGCCCACCTTCTAGCTGACCAATCTGTTGTCCAACCTCTCCAAGCCTATTGTCCAACCCCGCAACCCGTTGTTCTGTAGCCAAAGCTGACGCCCAACACACCATCCTTGATGTCGCCGCCCCGGGACAACAAGCATTTGTTGTTTGTGCCATGGTTGTCCCAATTTCCTGCTATCGCTGCACATGACAGCCAAACCACTAGCTGTTCGTGTAGTTTCTCACCGCACCTTTGCTGACACCACCCCCGTTAGTCATTCCGGTCTACCTAGCCGACCTCCACCACCCTACGAATACACTTGAGAGGTGTTTGCTTGTGTCGAATATGTTTGTATTATCATTTCCTATTGTGTTGTGTTGCAACCCTCTCTATACATTAATAAATTTTTTTTGTGTTTCTATTGTATTGCTAACTAGTTATGGAATCATTTTGTATCAGAGCTAGTTTAACCATAGTCCCATCCTAGGGTTTCCTAGAATTCGCCATAAACTATAACTTTTTGTCCTGCCACCAAATAATCTTTCCACAACCCAAACCCTAAATCCACCAAAATTTTTCTTTCCTATTCCTTAATCCCTAGACATGCCACCAAAGAGTTCTATACCCGAGCCTACCCGAGACGAGATACGGCGAGAGGTTTGTCACCTTCAGCAAAGGCTTGCAGAGATTGAAGAATTAACATAAGAAAATGTTACCTTTGACTGAGATCGAGAGAGTCGAAGAGGAGAAAAAGATGGGGATCTGAATCCCTTCCATAGGGATAATTTTAGCGACGAAGATGATAGGCCACAGTGTTTTGAAATACAGTATCAAAAGAGGCATAAAAAGGGATATCTGAATCCCCAAAGAGGGAGGCTCACAGAGAGGAGATACCATTTGGAGGCCACAAAGACTTCGAAATCAAGGTAGATCTGTTAGAGTTCGAATGAGGTATGGATCATGAGGATTTCATTGATTGGTTACAGGCTGTTGAACGGATCTACAAGTATAAAGATGTGTCAGATGATAGGCAGGTCAAATTAGCAGTCATCAAGCTGAAGAATAGTGTTTCTCTCTGGTGGGAGAACATACAGAGGCAGAGGAAACTAGAGAGTAACGAGAAGATTACCAGGTGGGAGAAGATGAAAAAGGTGATACATAGGAATACATCCCACTCCATTACCGTAAAAAAATGTTTCTAAAACTCCACCACCTGCAACGGAGTAGACGAGTTCACGAAGCATTTTAATAAGTTGTAGATGCGTTGTCATCTGGACAAGCTTGAGGAGCACACCGTAGCTCATTATCTGGGGGGCCTAAAACCAACTATCAACGATGCAGTACAACTGCTGCCTTATTCATCACTTGGAGATGTTCAGACACTAGCCCTAAAGATGGAGAGGCAGCAGAAATAGAGCAAGGCAGTGGTCATCCTTCAGGCAGCAACCTACAGGCAGGCAATCAACTACAGTTACCATGACCGACAGAGTTATCCCGAGAGACATAAGCAAACCCGGACAAGGGAATGACACTCTAAATCAAACGGAAAGAAGCAGAAGAAGGGTAGCTCCTCCAACACTGTGTCATCCAGGAAGTGTTACAGATGTCACGATTACGGTCACCTAATCGCCAGCTGTCCGACGAGCAGAGAAGTCATTTACCGATCGGGGCACCGTGGAGCAGGTTAGCGAGGAGGAGATAGTGGAGGACCGGAGTGAGATACGCCACCTTCCCCCAGATGAATGAGAGGCACTCCTAATTCGACGAGGCTAATATTGACACGAGGGATCCGCAATGGCTTCACCACAACATTTTCTACGCCCGCTGCACGGTGAATGGAAATGTATGCAGTTTTATCATCAACGGTGGGAGCAACAAGAATGCAGCATCGAATCAAATGATAGAGAAATTGGAACTCACGACTCAAAGATACTCCTAATCATACTCACTAATATGGGTGAAGAAGGATTGGATCAACACTTACCAGAGATGTTTGGTAGAGTTCTAGATAGAGGGCCAATTACAGCACTAGGTGTGATGTGACATGGTCCCTATGGATGCCTGCCACCTCCTATTGGGACGACCGTGACAGTTTAACGGAGGACTCAACACGATGGATTCAGAAACACACTCATTTACCAAGAAGGGAAAACACATCATTCTACTCCCTTCAGCAGAGCCCAAGATCACAGGAACTCTTACCAACAGAGCTTCGTCAGTGGGACTAGTTCTAGTGACAACACAGGATGAGAGGATCGAGACACCGATTCCAGACACAGGTCAATTACGCTAGAGAGGATGTCGAGACCCCACAGTTGACATCATACCACCAACTCCACCACCATCAGACAAAAAGATTCAGGCAACTCTGGCAACACATCAAATTGGCTTGGTCGTAGGTTATCTTGGGAGGATCCAACAGTACAGGCATGGGCCACAATTTTAGAAGAATGGATCGAATGGGATATGGGCGCACAAACGGTGCTGACTTCTTCGATGCTTTGACCGACTGTGGGACCCCGCTGCCGCGAGGATTAGAGATAAGGAACCATAAGCTTTGATGAATGAAGTCGAAGCTCTCCTAACCCTGGGAGATCGATGCGGCTAGGGGGGAGGAGGTTTCCCGCACAGATGCGGCAAACCAAGCTAGCCAGTTGAACCGACTGGCACAAGGACCGGTCTTGGGAGCCGGTCCAAACATCCTGAGGAGTGAGTAACATCATGAGATCCGGGGTGGCCTTTCCTTTCGCATCTCCCGCCCGGATCAAGCGAGATTTGGGGAGAGGCGGCATTGCCGCCTGACCATTCTTCTCCTTCCTTTCTTATCATTTTTCTTTTCTTGTTGCCCCATAGCTAGGTCTATTTATATGCTTGTTTTTTTAAGTTTAGGACATTTCTTGTTGTGTTTACTTTCAGATTTCTTGTGTGGATACCTTCTCTCTTTCATATGGTTGTATCTGAGGAAGTGGTGGTGCTCTGGTTGTATCCTACTCGGAGGTGATGATTGTATCTCCCCATTTATCTTCCCAAAACCTCCCTTCCCTTCCCACTTAGTCGTCGACCGCTCTGATCCTTCCCCAACCGCCTCCAACCCACCTTCCAGCCGACCAACATGTTGCTCAGAC